CATTTTTTCTTTTACAAAATTTTGGTGTTTTAAAGCAATTCAGTGTTAGAAGGCAAGAAGAATTGATGAGCATCAAAAAAATACAGCAACTGATGTTGCGACTTAAGAATGAATGTAATGCTAAATCTTTGATTAATCAGCCTCACAGGACTGCAACAAAATGAAGTTACTCATGAAAACAAAACACTTGACTAGATGGAGTGGGGATGTAAAAACTGCTTATTGCATCAGCATAGCACACTTCCCTCAACAAGCGAAGGAATGACATGAATGACAGTGGGATTCAGACCTTACTTCCAATTAAAGGAAGCCTGTTGCAGCAATATCAATGTCACCTTTCTTTATTCTGCATTAACATCCTTTACCCCAAAGAAAACGCCATTTTTCAATTTACTTGCCAGAATTAGTACCTACTCCAAGAAGTTATTGTAGCAGGATCTACTAAAATTTGCCAAATAAGGGTAATAAAAATTAGAGTTGAATATTCAATGCTATTAATGGATTAAAATAGTTCAATGAAGACCTATTATAATTTGGCAGCAGCAAGGCAGTGTTTATTGCCCATTCCCAGATGTTCAGAAAGATGTCACATGAGCCAGACCAGTTTGGAATAGGCCAGTTAGATTTTCATGACAATCTGGTAGCGATAGTGCATAAATTTCTAGATGAAGAAATCAATACTTTAGGAGTTGTATCAAATCTCTGGGTTTCTGATGCAGACCCTGAAATATTTGTTGTGGGCATTGCTCATTATGCCCGCATTCATTGCTCATCCCTAACTACTCAGAAGCAGTTAAGAGTAAAATACATTGCTAGGGTCTGGAGGAGTCACACATGTGTCAAGCTAAGAATGACAGATTTCCTTCCCAAAGTCGATTAGGAAGCAATAGACCATGATAATGAGGGGAAGCTTTTTATCATTTACTCAATAATGTCATTCCCCAAGCAGCAAGCACTTCACATTACAAGTGAAGTAGAGCTGGATAGTTCTCCTAGAGGTAGTTTAATTCAGTGCTCATGCTGAGGTAGGCTGCAGTCATGGACTTTCATGAATGACTCATCAGCTGGTGGACAGGAAGCCAGTGTATGAGCAGGCCAAGGATGAAAAATATATTGAATATTAAAGAAATCTTGTCAAGTCACAGACACTTACTTGATTGGTGACAGAAGGCAGGCTAGGGCTTGCATAAAGAGAAAGACGCCTGAAGGATTATTGAATATTGTTATCTGAAACAGAAAAAAGCTGGATAAATTGTCATCATGCATTTCATTACAGGAAACATGCACTGTATTACAAGTATGTACCAGTTATGGCACATCATGGCTCAATTTTCTATATTTTCTGCATGCTGAAATGTGTTCAGATAAACATCATATTGCCCCACAGCAATTTCATGATACTGTACATATGAATGCTTAAACTATCATCTGAAATGCCTTCCTTCTTGGGATATTAACTTACCTGGCAAAGCAGGCATTTATTATTCATCCTGTTTCTTGGATAAGGTGATAGGCCGTGTTGTTGAACTGTTGTCATGTGATGAAGGCGGCTGCACAATACTTTAAGGCAGACGCTTCAAGGACTTTGGACGATTTGAAGGATTATGAATTGAGCCAGACATCGTGCAACCATTACCAAACCACCTCATGATTGACATTATGACAGAGCAGCTAGCTGCAGATTGCTAGCATGAAGACTCGACTCTGAGGAATTTTTGAGGCAATGCATATCCTGGTCCCAGGACAGTCTCCAATAATTATAACCACCTCCCTTTGTATGATTCTAGTTATTTGAGACTTTCTTTCCACCCACACCTCTTCCAAATCAGTGCAATATTACTTGGGTTTTTTTGGTTCCACTCATTGGAATGCTTCTTGTTACGACACAAGGATAGCAATCCAAATCAAATCAGACTTGTTAACACTGGATCTGCAAGACAGTGAAATCAAAACATTCGATGACCTACAAAAGTGCTCAATTGTTCCTAACCAGACTTTACAGATAACCGATCTTGGACACCAAGTTTATAACTCAAACAAAAATTAACAATTTATAATTAATAACGTAATCTTAGCAGAACAAGGGAATTTAATTAATATTTAAAATCTAAGCCCAATCTTCCTTGATCACCAACCCCACTCTCACACTGACAGACAGACAGTTAAGGGATATGATCCTGTCAGTTATAAAATGTAAGTTGCCAGTTTGATAACTGTTTTAACGATGAAAATCCAATCTTCATGTTATGTGATGGTTATATTACAGGCAAATAGCATTGTATCTTGCTTGAATTCTGAAATCTCCAGAGATGACTTCATTCCTTAGGATTGTCATGAAGTTGATAACTGGAGAAAAACCACAGAGAGCAAAACGAAAAATCCCAGTCTAGCTTCTTCCAAAGCAACACTGCTTCCTGCCCAAATAACAAGTCAAAAACCAGTTCACCTTTTGACTTTTCTTCCCCCCCCCACCCTCAAATATTCTGTGGCTGGCTGGCCAGCACCAGTCCTCCCTTGACTGACCAATTCAACATCCAACAAACTGCCAACCCCTGAGTATAGCCACATCTCAGTGTTGGTTCATCTATGCTGTTTTTTAGAGCAGTACATGAACGGTGTTATCTTTCCAGGCCAGTTCTCAAAAGCAAACATTGATTTTTTTGTTCGCTCCTTTTTTTGTAAAAATAAGCTTTGTTCACAGATCAATTCTCAGTTCCAAACCAAAAAATGAGGGGAAAAAAGAAAATTAATAATGGTCTGAACAATTCATTGAGATCAAGGGCAGTCACTCTTAACTCACCATTTGCCAATATAAATGGCACAAGTTTTTAAATTGCCATCAAATATTCAAGTTAGGACTCACTGTAAAACCGAATCTATTTTCCAAACAAATAAATCAGGCTTTAAGTTTCTACCAGCAATATTTTTCTTGCATATTGCACTGAATTATGATACAAATGCCTTGGAAAGATATCTGCTACAGACGCCCTTGCATTCACAGAGTTGCTGACTGCTGGCCAACTCTAACTATAAATTCTAATACTAATCAGTTTCCTTGTCAGGGTAACCTAAAGTTTGCTGGCATACAAGTTAACAAAAAAAATTACTTCTAACAGCATCAGCTCGTCGTGCTATACTCTACACATTCCAAAGATCATCCTCCGCCATTTCTGCCATCATCATCAGGATATCACCGTAAAATAGAATTTCCCCTTCTTTCCCTGATCAGCATTCTGCAGGGACCATTCCCTCCACAACACCCTGGTCGCTCCTCCGTCACTCCAAACACCTACACACCCTCAATGGCTCCGTCCCATGCAGTAACTAAAAGTGTAACATTTGGCCTTTCATCTTCTCTTCCCTGTCCAAGGCCCCAAATGCATCTTCCGGACAAAACAGTGTTATGCTTGTATATTTTTTAAAAATCTAATCTACTGTACTCAATGCTCACAATGAGGTTTTATCTGCACTGGCAACACAAAATACAGGTTGGGCAACCACTTAGTTGACATACTTCACTCTGTCTTTAAAAATAACTGTGACTTTCCAGTTGCTTGCCATTTCATTACACCATCTTCCTCTCACGTTAACTTTCTAAGTTCTAAGTGTGCTGCAGTGCAGTGCTCCAGTGAAGCTCAACACAAGCTGGAGGAACTACACCTTATTTTCTCCTTCAGCAACTTACAGACTTCAGGCCTCAACACTGACTTCAACAACTTCAGAGCATGAACACTTTGTCTTGTTTTCTTGGGTTTGCTCTCGACCACTCATACTAACTACTAGTCCAGAAGATCAGAAAACCAATAGTCAGCGAGAAACTGAGAAGCAAATATGCAAGAAGATCTCAGATACCCGTTAGAAAAATAGGGTTTTAATGATAGGGGATTTTAACTTTCCAAACATAGACTGGGGCTGTCACAGTGTTAAGGGCTTGGATGGGGAGGAATTTGTTAACTGTGTATAAGAAAACTTTCTTATTCAATATGTAGATGTACCTGCTAGAGAAAGAGCAATACTTGACGTTCTGTTGGGAAAACAGGCATGGTAAGCGACTGAGGTGTCAATGGGGGAGCACTTTGGGACAGATGATCGTAATTTGATTAGTTTTAAACTAATTATGGAAAAGGATAGAACTGATCAAAAACTTAAAGTTCTAGATTGGAGTCAGGCCAATTTTGATGGTACCAGACAAGAAATTTCAGAAGTTGATTGGGGGAGGTTGTTCACAAGTCAAGGGATGGTTGAGAAGTGCAAGGCCTTTAAGACTGAGATAACTAGAGTTCAGACACAGTATGTTCCTGTTAGTGTGAAAGACAAGGTTGGTAGGTGCAGGGAATGCTAGATGACTAGAGAAATTCAGACTCTTGTCAGGAAAAAGGAGGAGGCATATATCAGGTACAGACTGCTGGGATCAACTGAATCCCTTGAGTAGTATAAAAGCAGTAGGAGTATACTTAACAGGGAAATTAGGATAACAAAAAGGAGACATGAGATAGCTTTCGCAAATAGAGTTAAGGAGAATCCAAAGAGATTCTATAAATACTTTAAGGGCAAAAGAGCAACTATGGAAAGAGTAGAGCCCCTTAAAAGGTCAATGTGGCTATGTGTGGAACCACAGGAGATGGATGAGATACTAAAAGAATATCTTGCATCAGTATTAGCTGTGGAGATGGACGTGGAAGTGAGGGAACTTGGGGAAATAAATAGTGATGTCTTGAAAAGAGTTCATATTACAGAGGTGGTGGTGCTGGAGGTCTTAAACTGCATGAAGGTAGATAAATCCCCAGGACCCAATCAGGTGTTACCAGAACTTTGTGGGAAGCTAGTGAAGAGATTGCTGGGCCCTTTGCTGAAATATCTGCATCATCAATAGCCACGGGTAAGGTGCTGGAAGTCTACAGGTCGGCTAATATGGTGCCATTATTCAAGAAAGGTTGTAAGGAAAAGCCAGGGAACTATAGACCAGTGAGCCTTACGCTAATGGTGGATAAGTTGTTGGAGGGGATTCTGACAGATAGGATTTTCATGCACTTGGAAAGGCAAGGACTGATTAGGAATAGTCAGCATGGCTTTGTGCGCAGGAAATTGTGTCTCACTAACTTGATTGAGTTTTTTGAAGAGCTGATAAAGATGGACGAAGGCAGAGCAGTAGTCATCATCCAAATGGAATTCAGCAAAACGTTTGACAAGATTCTGCATGATAGACTAGTTATTAAGGTTAGATCACGTAGGATTCGGGGGAGCTAGCTGATTGGACCTTGATCTGATGGGCCAATGGGCCGAGGAGTAGCATATGGAGTTTAATTTAGTTACTTATGAGGTGTTGCATTTTGGGAAGTCAAACCAGGGCAGGATTTATAGGGTTAATGGTAGTGTCCTAGGGGAGTTGCAGACCAAAGAGACCTAGGGGTGCAGGTGCATAGTTTCTTGAAGGTGGAGTAAAAGTTAGGGTGGTGAAGGTGGTGTTTGGTACGCCTGCCTTTATTGGTTTTAACATTGAGGATAGGAGTTGGGTTGTCATGTTGCAGCTGTACACGACATTGGTGAGGTCATTTTTGGAATACTATGTCCAATTCTGGTCACCCTTCTACAGGAAAGATGTTGTTAAACTTGAGAGGCTATAGAAAAGATTTACAAGGATGTTGCTGGGACTGGAATGTCTGAGTTATGGGGAAAAGGGTGAATAGGCTGGGGCTTTTTTCCCTGGAGCGTTGAAAGCCGACGTTTATAAAATCATGAGGGGCATGGATAGGGTGAATAACCAAGGTCTTTTGTCGAGGGTGGGGGTGTTCAAAACTACAGCACATAGATTTAAGGTGAGAGGGTAATGAGGAGTAACTTTTTCATGCAGAGGGTGGTGTGTGTATGGAACGAGCTACCAGAGGAAGAGGCGGAGGCTGGTATAATTACCACATTTAAAAGGCATCTGGATTGGTATATGAATAGGAAGGGTTTAGAGGGATATGGGCCAAAGGCTAGCAAATGAGACTAGATCAGATTGGGATGACTGGTTGGTGCAGATGAAGCAGCTTGAAGGGTCTGTTTCTGTGCAGTATGACTCTATAAAGAATTAGTTTATTTCTCAACTGTATCACTTGACTATAATCATTAGCATTCCCTTGGCCTTTTTCTCTGGGCACCCTGTTTCACTGGCTCCTCCTCAACAGCATAAAAATGATCATTTTCTAACCCCTTTCAGTGTTGAAGCGTCATACTGGACTCAAAACAATAACTGTTGTTCGCTTCGCAGATGTTGCCAGACCTGAGTTTATTTAGTACTTTGTTTTTATTTTAGACCTCCAGCATTCACAGTACTTTGTCTTTATATGGTCCACTCTATATTCATATTGTCCTTTTTGATGCTCTTTCAAGAGGTGTGCTGGTTATTTGTTGCCCATCCACTACCACTCTTGGAATAGCTTAACGGAGCGAGCCACTGTCTGAACCACTGCAGTCCATGTGATGTAGGCCAGCCAGAGTGCTCTTAGGGGGGGGGGTTCCAAGATATTGATCTAGCGACTTTGAATGAGCAGCAGTAATAGTTCTAAGTTAGGATGATGTGTAACTTGGAGGGAAACTTGCAAGTGGTCATGTTCCTACACATATGCTGGCCCTATCCTTCTAGATGAAAGAAGTTGTGGGTTTGGAGGGTGCTGTTGAAGGTGCCATGGTGAATTTTTGCAGTGTATCTTACAAATGGTACACACTATATATTTATGTCCAGGTTCCTGTTTGACCTAATGCCATGAGACTTCAGCTTTGTATATAAAACACCACGTTCTAGAAGGGAATTTCTTGTATGTTTAGTTTTATATCATAATTCCACTTATAATTTTATCTTCTGTAATTTTATTGCTCCATCTATACTGCTTACAATGCCACCTGTCATCAGCAAACATTGAGAGATGAGGAACCACATAAATTGTTAATAAATATGAATTGCTCATGCGCACAAATCCTTGAGATATCGAAAGTCACACCTTGCCAATTATTCTGTCTCTTGCCACTCAGCGAGCTCTAGCCAGTTCAATAATTTGCCTTCAGTGCCATGAGCCTTATTGTTAGCTAACAGTCTCTTATGAGACTTCAGCAAATGCACCCTGCAATTCCGTACAATTAATATCTACTAACTTTAGACATATCTTCAAAAAATTCAATTGGTTTCTCAGGCATGAAGGGCTTTCCCTTTCTTTTACAATGTTGACTTTCTCTGATCAGTTGAAAACTTCAAGGTGTTTCATCAGTCCGTTCTTAATTAGAGGCTTAGCTAATTTCCTGACAACTGACACCGGTCAATAGATTGTTCATTCCCCTTTTGCCTCTCTTTAATAGGGAAGTGACCTGTGCAATTTTCTAATCCAAAGAAATGGTTCCTAAATCAGGACAATTTTGGAAAATTGTAATGTTTGCACTTACTCACTTTTAAATTCCAGGATAGAAACCATTTGGAACTGTCAATTATATTACTGTCAACATTTTGAGTAAATTAACTCTGATGAATCATCGACTCTAATTCAATATTAGTCTGGCATTATGCCATTACCATGTTGAATTCCAGTTTTGTGTTCACTTTTTCTTATTAGCATTCATAGCTTTTTAATAAACTGAATTTAAATTACCAAAAAGCCATGGTGGGACTCATTCCCTGGCTTATTAGTCTCCACCTCTACATTATTAATCCAGTGATATAGTCACCAAACCTTTATATCCTAGCAACCTCTGTAATCCATCTTAAGGTCTGTTAGCTGAATAACAATGTAGGACAATTGTTGATTTTTTTCTATGTAATTATTGACAACAATTATTAACAATGATTGGTAGCAGTGGAAATTATAATTATGATAATGTTATTTTTGAGCATTGAAAAAATCCTCAAATATTGTACAATTAGGTAAGTAAACAAAAAATTAACCACAATCGGTGGACTCAATTGCTAAAAGAAATTATGCAGTGCTGTGGTGACTTGTTGTTGAGTTAGGAAAAACCTCAATGACATTTCTGAAATGTATCTGTTCCGAGTACAATTTATAAAGCATGGTGAATTTCAAATGTTGAATACTGTGTGCGTGAGATTTAAAAGATTTTCGAATTTATCAACCACCAAACGTTGACATTTGTACTGGAAGGTATTACTAATATAACACTATCATAAATCAGAATTATCATAAACATTACAGAAATGGAAAAAGTAATTTTCTTTATGAATATTATGAATATTACATTCAAAACAACAGGAAGGTTGCAGTAGTTTCACGCACAGAGTAAAATCATACCTTTACAAATGGGGCTGCCCATTTGCTCACACCTGCTGGGCAGTGAAGGATGTGATTCAGAATACAGAGGTGATCAGCAGAAGAGCCAATTCGGTGTAACACTGCAACCTAAAAGGATTAATTATTAATAACTGACACACAGTTTCAGAGCACATAAAGTAAGGTGTTTTCTAATAATCATCTTTTTCCTCCTTTGTTAAGATGAAAATGTCACAAAAAAGTATTTTTTCTAATTGCTTACATCTGTGACAAGGATTCTTACCATTTTTCAGAAGCTGTTCTGAAACCTCAGCTTTTCACCATATGCATGAAGTAGTTGCACAAAGCCATAGGTAATTGTATATTGTGGTAAAGGTTCAAAGTACATTGATTTGAAAATTTGGGTTCTACATTGGAGAAATGACATATGGGTTTAAGCTTGATTTGTATTTCTATATTAAGTATGAAGAAAGAAACACAGAAATGCAGAAGTAGGCCATTTGGCCCACTCAGTCTGTTTGCTGTTCAATATGATAGAGTCATAGAGATCTACATTACTGAAAAAGTCCCTTCAGCCCACTGTGCACATATTGGTCAAACCAACCACCTAACTATTCTAATCCCATTTATCAATTCTTGGCCCAGAACCTTGTATACCTTGGCTTGACAAGTGCACGTCTAAATATAGAACATAGAACAGTACAGGCCCTTCGGCCCACGATGTTGTGGCCGACCTATTATCCCACTAAGATCAATCTACCCTGCATACTCTACATTTTACTATGCTCCATGTGCCTATCCAAGAGTCGTTTAAAAGTCTCTAAAGTATCTGACTCCACTACCACAGCTGGCAGTGCACTCCACACGCCCACCACTCTCTGTGTGAAGAACCTACTTCTGACATCTCCCCTATACCTTCCTCCAATCACGTTAAAATTATGCCCCCTCATAATAGTCATTTCCGCCCTGGGAAAAAGTCTCTGACTATCCACTCTATCTATGCCTCTCATCATCTTGTACACCTCTATCAAGTCACCTCTCATCCTTCTTCGCTCCAAAGAAAAAATCCCTAGCTCCCTCAACCTTTCCTCATAAGACCTGCCCTCCAGTCCAGGCAGCATCCTGGTAAATCTCCTCTGCATCCTCTCTAAAGCTTCCACATCTTTCCTATAATGAGGTGACCAGAACTGAACAAAATATTCCAAGTGTAGTCTAACCAGAGTTTTATAAAGCTGCAGCATAACCTCATGGCTCTTAAACTCAATTCCCCTGCCAATGAAAGCCAACACACCATAAGCCTTCTTTACAACCCTATCAACTTGGGTCGCAACTTTGAGGGATCTATGGATGTGGACCCCAAGATCCCTCTGTTCCTGCACACTGCCAAGAATCCTGCATTAACCCTGTATTCTACATGCAAATTCCACCTTCCAAAATGAATCACTTCACACTTTTCTGGGTTGAATTCCATCTGCCACTTCTTTGCCCAGCTCTGCATCCTGTCAATGTCCCGTTGCAACCTACAACAGCCCTCCACAACTCCATCAACCTTTGTGTCATTGGCAAATTTATTAACCCACCCTTCCACTTCCTCAACCAAGTCATTTATAAAGATCACAAAGAGCAGAGGTCCCAGAACAGATCCCTGCGGCACACCACTGGTCACCGAGTTCCAGGCTGAATACTTTCCATCTACTGCCACCCTCTGTCTTCTATTGGACAGCCAGTTTTGTGTCCAATGTTATGAGGGTCTCCTGAGACTCTGACCCTGTTATGGACCATTAGCGAAGTAAAGCATCTAGTCCGTCCAGCCCTGTCAGAATTTTATACACTTCAATGAAATTCCCTTTGATTCTTCTAAACACCAGTGAATCCAGGCCCAGTTGACCCAACCTCAGTGTTATGGGGGACTCTGAGCATGACATCAGTGTTAGGCAAGTCATTGGAGAGGATTCTGAGGGTCAGGATCAACCAACATTTGGATAGTCACGCTCTGATTAGGGATAGTCAGCATGAAGTTTTATGCAGGAAGTCATGTCTGACAAATCTTTTAGAGTTTTTCAAAGAGGTAACCAAGAGGCAGGATGGTGGATGTTGTCTATATGGACTTTAGTAAGGCCTTTGACAGGGTCCCACACAGCAGGCTAGTCCGCAGGGGATCCAGGGAGAGCGAGCTAATTGGATTCAAAATTGGCTCGATGGTAGGAAGCAGATGGTTGAAGGTTGTTTCTCAGACTAGAGGCCTGTGGCTAGTGGTATGCCACAGCAGTCAGCGCTGGGATCTTTGTAATTTACATCAATGATCTGGAATGTACAAGACATGATTAGTAAGTTTGCGGATGATACAAAATTAAGAGGCATCGTTGATAGCGAGGAAGGTTATCAAAAATTACAAAGGGATCTTGATCAGACGGGCAAGTGGGCTGAGAATCGGCAAATGCAATTCAATACAGATAAGTGAGGTGTTGCACTTTGGAAAGTCAAACCAAGGTAGGACTTATACAGTGATAGTAGGAACTGCAGATGCTGGAGAATCTGAGATAACAAGGTGTAGAGCTGGATGAACACAGCAGGCCAAGCAGCATCATAGGAGCAGGAAGGCTGACGTTTCCGGCCTAGACCTTGTTATCTAGGATTTATACAGTAAATGGTAAGGTCCTGAGGAGTGTTGTGGAACAGAGAGACCTAGGAATACAAGTACATAGTTCGTTGAAAGTGGCGTCACACGTAGACAGTGAGGTGAAGAAGACATCAGCATGCTGGTTTTCATCGGCTGAGGCATTGAGTATAGGAGTTGGGACACTATGTTACAGTTGTACAAGTCATTGGTGAGGCCGCACTTAGAGTACTGTGTACTGTGTTGGTCACCTGTTATAGGAAAGATATAGTTAAACTGGAAAGTGTGCAAAGAAGATTTACGAGGATGTTGCCAGGACTAGTATACCTGAATTATGGGGAGATGTTAGCTAGGATAGAACTTTATTGCTTGGAATGTAGGAGGAAAAGGGGTAACCTTATTGAAGTGTATAAAATCATGAGGGGCATAGATAGGATGAATGCATGTAGTCTTTTTCCCAGGGATGGGGAATTGAAAACTAGAGGGCATAGGGTTAAGGTGAGAGGAGAATGATTTAGGGAGGACCTGAGGGGCAACTACTTCATGCAGAGAGTGGTGCATATATGGAATGGGCTGCAGAAAGTGGTTGAGGCAGGTACAATAGCAACATTTAAAACACATTTGGATAGGAACATGGATGGGAAGGGTTTTGAGGGATCTGGACCAAATGCAGGCAATTGGAACTAGCTGAGTGGGCACCATGGTCAGCATAGACCAGTTTGGGCTGAAGGGCCTGTTTCCATGATGTATTACTCTATGCCGCAATGACTAACTTGGCAAGTTGATAAGAGGACTTCCGAAAAATAGGACAGCGATCATTTATTTCATTTGTGTGTGGACAGAAGTTTAAAGCTCACTCAGGCAGTTTACAAAACACATCCCAACTTTATGCAGATTGCAACACGCATGTTGCAATCCTTAAACTTCAATGTTCATCATCTTGGTTTTCCTCACAGTCTTTCAGGTGCATTGTTTATTCTTCATCCAAGGCCTATGACAGTGTGGCGCCTATGCTACAAGTATAGACAGCCTGAATGTCTCATTTGTCATTCATTTTTCTGTACTAGCTTTGCCCATGACTAACTACATGGCTAAAGCTATAACCCTTAACTAACTGAAACAGATTCAATCCTTTCACTCTCCTAATGAAGAGACATACCTTTCCAACAGTCAGAGATAGTAGGAACTGCAGATGCTGGAGAATCCGAGACAACAAGGTGCAGGGCTGGATGAACACAGCAGGCCGAGCAGCATCATAGGAGCAGAAAGGCTGACGTTTTGGGCCTAGACCCTTCATCAGAAAAGGGGGAGGGGAAGGGGGTTCTGAAATAAATAGGGAGAGAGTGGGAGGCAGATAGAAGATGGATAGAGGAGAGGATAGGTGGAGAGGAAACAAACAGGTCGAAGAGGTGGGGATGGGGCCAGTAAAGGTGAGTGTAGGTGGGGAGTTAGGGAGGGGATAGGTCAGTCCAGGGAGGACGGACAGGTCAAGGGGGCGGGATGAGGTTAGTCGGTAGGAGATGGGGGTGCGGCTTGAGGTGGGAGGAGGGGATAGGTGGGAGGAAGAACAGGTTAGGGAGGCGGGGACGAGCTGGACTGGTTTTGGGATGCGGTAGGGGGCGGGGAGATTTTGAAGCTTGTGAAATCCACATTGATACCATTGGGCTGCAGGGTTCCCAAGCGGAATATGAGTTGCTGTTCCTGCAACCTTCGGGTGGCATCGTTGTGGCACTGCAGGAGGCCCAGGATGGACATGTCATCTGAGGAATGGGAGGGGGAGTCAGCCTGGTGAACCTTGATTCTCTCTATGGCAATTGTATCTTTTCTGGAGTGAGGAGACCAAACTGGACACAATATTCTGGGTGCAGTCTCATTAAAGTTTGTACAGCTACAGTAAGACTTCCTTGCCCTTGTACTCAAACCCACTTGCAATGAAGGCTAACGTACCATCTGCCTTCCTAATTGCTTGCTTCACCTACATACTTGCTTTGAACAAGTGGTGTACAAGGACTCCCAGGTACCAGTCCCAATCTATCACTTAAATAACGTTCTGCCATTCTGTTTTTCCTATCAAAGTGAACAACTTAACATTTATAGAGCATCTGCCATGTATGTGCCCTCCCATTCAACTTGTCAAAATCAGCCTGAAGCCTCTTTATGCCCTTATCATCAATCGGTCCCACTGAGTTTTGTGCTGACAGCAAACTTGGAAATTTTACAGTTGACTGCCTCGTTCAAATTATTAATATAGACTGTGAATAGCTGCAGCCCAATCAGGGATCATTGCAGTGTTTCATTTGTCACTTCTTTCCACCCTGTAAAAGAGTCACTTATTCCAACGTTGTTTCCTGTCAGATGACCAATTCTCCATTCTTGACAGTACATAACTACCAATCCCACATGCTATAATTCTGCACATTAACCGCTTATGTGAGACTTTATCAAAATCAAAGAAAGCATACTTTCACTTTATGTTTCTTTTTAGATTTTGAACTCGGAGAGTTCGGTGCCAAGTTCCCTGGAGTTTGTTTACACGCATTTGAATGAGGTCTTTAAAAAACCTTTCAGATTAATAGTACAATGCTTTAGAAACTAAACGTAGAAGAGAGATTAAAATTCGGCTGTCAAATAGCAGCAAGATGCTCTAAAACAAAAGGAGATAGAGATCAAAACAAGTTTCTTTTTATAAAGGTAGAACCATTAAGAAGGTTACTGACTGTTCAGTAACTGCAACAGTGCAGTTAAGCAGTCCACAAAACAGTCGGGGAAGAAAGAAGCAACCTGTAATGTCATGTTGTGGTTTTACAGCATGTTGGATAGGCCACTTTTGCAGTACTGTGTATAATTCTGGTACAGCATAGCCCTGCTATAGGAAGGATATTATTAAATTTGAAAGGGTGTAGAAAAGATTTACAAGGATGTTACAGAGGGCTTGAGTTATAAGGAGAGGCTGGATAGGCAGGGACTTTTTTCATTGGAGCATAGGAGGTTGAGGTTTATAGAAGTTTAAAAAATCATGAGGGGCATAGGTAAGGTGAATGGCAAAGGTCTTTCTCAATGGTAGGGTTCGAGACGAGAGTGCATAATTTTAAGGCGAGAGGAGAAAGATTTAAAAGGCACCTGAAGTGCAACTTCTTCACAGAGGGTTGTTCATCTGTGGAATGAACCATCAGAGGAAGTGGTAGATGCAGGTAGAGTTACAACATTTAAAAGACATTTGGACAGGTACGTGAATAGGAAAGGTTTGGAGGGTTATAGGACAGGTTTAGAGGGTTATAGGACAAACGTAGGCAAATGGGACTTGTTCAATTTGGGAAACCTGGTCGGCATGAATGAGTTGGACCAAAGGGTCTGTTTCCGTGCTGTATTACTCTATGACTCTAAGTCTAGAATGGCTTAGAAATTACTGAGAGGTCAGCTGCAGAAACAGAAGGCTCTAAGGCAGCAGAGAATTTAAGGAACACATATTAAGCAATAAGTGAAATAAAAACACAAAGCACTGGAAAAATTCAGCATCTGTCGGGGGAGGGGGGTGGAGACAGAGCGCGAGAGAGAGAGTGCGAGAGCGAGCGAGAGAAACAGCGTTAATGTTTCCAGACCAAATGATTCTTCCGTGAGTCACAACGTTAACTCTGTTTCTCTTTCCGCAGATACAGCCAGACTGGATGACTTCTTTCAGCACGTTATGTTTCTATTTCACATCTCGAGCAGCTGCAGTACTTTGCTATTATTTAAGGAGTAGGTGTGCTGTGTTAGCAGTTTGTTTAAGTGTCTCACAAAGGAACATTAACTAAAGAAGCTAGCACTGAGTGAATGCCGAGGTTTGCCAGAATGAAACCAAGCACTGTCATGCCAAACGAACATGGCATTTTAATGTCAAAACACTGACCCCTCATTGATGGTTTTTAGTAAGGATAAAAGGATTGAATCTCTAAGATATTTATAGCAAGCCCATTTCAACTAGCTGTTTTATAGTGTAACAAAGCTCATTTTTGTTGTGTGTGACTTTGATGTTCTTCTTTTCAAAGTACATTTATAGCCTCTTGGGAATATGTTAAGTGACCAAACGCCACGCTTAACAAACTGCAAAGGTAAAATTTATGATTTACGAAGCCAGATTTTACTCTGGGATATTTGTTCAGTATTACAATCACCTGGCATTATAACAATATTCAAATTTGCACATGCTACCACATTAGGAGGAATCTTAAGTTGTGTGGGTATACAGGTTTTTGTTACTTGATGGTATCAAGTGTGATGGAACAAGGGCAGCCAAATGGAGTTGATGTACACCAATAAAATAACTGAATTGTACACCATTGCTGCAGTTCCAATGGAAAGCTATTTCCTCAGTTTTCAGCTGGTCTTTCTCCACAAAACAGATCTCCAAAACTGCAGTTACACCTACATGTCAGAACGGTGAATGACATTTAACAGTTAAATTACGTGAAACAAGCACAGGTCAAAGACACTGAAGGTTGAACACTAGTTACAGGAACTATTAGGATCCAGTGGTGATGTATGAGATGAGAACTATCATGAAACAAACGCAGCTAGTTCCACCCACAAAAATATACTTCATGAATGGCAATTTAATAACAAGGCCCAACATTGTAATTTCATACCAATTTCTGTAGCCAGAGAAGAATGTCACTGTGGAACTGATCATCTTCAATTGTTCTTCGGGTAAAACTAAAGAGTACACTAATGTTTTCTTTTAAAAGCTGCAGATCTGAATGGCTGCAATCTATTTCTTGATCATCTGCACAAAATAAAAAGAAAACTGTCAGACATAATATTGGCGGGTTAAACACTAAACAAAAGAACTGTGTTCTGAAGAAGGGTCACTAGATTTTGAATGTTAACTCTGCCTTCTCGCCACAGATGACGCCAGACCTGCTGAACATTTCCAACAATTTCTGTTTTTGTTTATGACATTGGTAGGTTTTTTTTGGAACTATCCCTAGTGTCATAAAATTGAACTTTCAAATGTTTATTATTTCTATATAAAGTTAAAGTCAATGTCATTTTTGAAAGTGAAATTTCACCAAATATAAGAACAATAGATTTTATTTTGTCTCTATTTTCACTTCTCCATTATTATGGGTACAACTAGGCACAGGTAAAACATTGAAGTTGTGCTTCTCGGATGGGTATGATAGAATTCTACAAAAACATTCCTACCAAAGTTGGGAAGAGTATTGCTAATAGCCTAAACAGCTGGCTGAACTGTCAATATTTAACAGCATGACAATGTAATTTCCACAAGAAGTAGTGAAAAATCCTATCAACTGAAGTGACACTCATCTTGTTAGATGGTAAATACCAAATGCTGCTATTTGCATTTGCACATGGAATTGAACCAAAACTTTGTTATGTAAAGTTATAAAGTTAAGGTAAAGGCAAGATAAGTTTCTTTTATCTTTCTTGGTGTAAAGGGACAGAGATGACAGATAGGGCAGTGATGTGCTCCTCCTGCCAGATGCAGGAGATCAGGGAGCAGTCTAGTGTCCCTGACGACTATGTCTACAGGAAGGTGACCAGCTGTAGCTTTTCACAGACTGCATGGATAAGTTGGAGCAATAGCTGAACACACTGAGGAGCATAAAGGAGGCAGAGAGTGTGATAGACACGAGTTACGGGGAGATGATACACCGCAAATTTAGTTAGGTCAATGGGTAACCGCAAGGAAAGATGGGCAGGTAGTGCAAGAGTCTCCTGTGGCTATTCCCCTTTCTGACAGGTATACCATTTTGGATACTATTGCGGGCCATAACCTCTCAGGAAGTGTAACAACAGCAGCCAAGCCTGTGGCACCACAACTGGCTCTGCTGTAGAGCACGGTCAGGCAATGTCCGAGAGAGCAATAGTGGTAGGAGACTCACTAGTTAGGGCACAGACAGCTGTTTCTGTGGTTGCGTCTGAGACTCCAGGATAGTGTGATGCCTCCCTGGTGCCAGGGCCAAGGATGTCTGAGCGGTTGCATGAAATTCTTAAGTGGGAGGGTGAGCAGCAGAGGTCATTGTGCACATTGCTAACAATGGCATAGGTAGAAAGAGGGGTGAGGTCATGTGGAGCGAGTACAGGGAGTTAGGAAAGAGACTGAAAAGCAGGCCAAAAGGGTAATAATCGCCAGGTTACTATCAGTGCCATGTGCTAGTGAGGCAAGGAATAGTAAGATAGCACAGATGAATACATGGCTAAGCAGCTGGTGCAGGGGGACAGAGTTTCAGGTTCTTGGATCATTGGGACCACTTCTGGGATGCGAGTGACCTATACAAGAGGAACAGGTTGCACCTAAACTAGAGGGGAACTGATATCCTCGTAACAAGGGTCGCTAGTGCTCCTTGGGAAGGTTTAAACTAGAGTGGCAGGGCCTGGGAATCTGGGTAGCAGGTCAGCAAGTGGAGAGATTGAGGGTGAAAGGAAGAACAGGCAGAGACAGGTAAATGAACACGATGGAACTGACGGGCTGAAGTGATTATTTCAATGCAAGGAATATTATGGGTAAGGCAGATGAGCTTACAGCCTGGATCTGTACATAGGACTACAATGTTGTGGCCATTACAGAGACTTAGTTGAGAGAAGAACAGGACTGGCTGCTGAACATTCCAGGGCTTCATTGCTTTAGACAAGATAGAGAGGGAGGTAAAAGAGGTGGTGAAATTGCATTACTAATCAGGGCGAATGTCATGTCTGCACTCAGAGAGGACATATTGGAGGGCTCATCCACTAAGGCAATATGGGTAGAGCTCAAAAATTAAGATGGGTGCAACTATTCTGATGGGATTATACTATAGGCCCCCCAACAGCTACTGAGACAATGAGGAAAGATGCAATCACAACAGGGTTGTCATAGTGGCTGAGTTCAACTTCCCCAAAATTGACAGGGACTTCCTTAGAGCCAGAGGCTTAGACAGGCGAGGGCAGAATTTGTTAGGTGCATCCAAGAGGGTTTCTTGAAACAGTATGCGGACAATTCAACTAGATGGGGGGCCATACTGGACCTTGTACTGGCTAAAGAGCCTAGCCAGGTGACTGACCTTTCAAATGGGGCAGCATTTTGGAAACAGTGATCACAAAACCTCAGGTTTTAAGATAGCTACAAAAAAGGATAAGTCAGGACCTTGTGGGAAAGTACTAAATTGAGGTAGGGCAAATTATGTCCGTATTAGGCAGGAGCTACGGAGAGTTAATTGGAAACAGCTGTTATTGGGCAAATCCACATTTGACACGTGGGAAATGTTTAAAAACCTCCTGATCAGAGTTCAGGACTGGCGTGTTCCAGTAAGGAGGAAGGACAAGGATGGCAAGGTCAGAGACCGTTGGATAATGAGTGAGGTTGTGAATTTAATCAAAAAGAAAAAAAGCACATGTAAGATTTAGGAAGTTAAAATCTGATAGGAGGAATATAAAGAAAGCAGGAAAGAAGTCAAGCAGGGAATTAGGAGAGCAAGGAAGGGCTATGGAATGACCTTGGCAAGTAGGGTTAAAGAGAATCCCAAGGCATTCTACATATACACGAAAAACAAGAGGATAACTAGGGAAAGGATAGGATCACTCAAGGATAAAAGATGGAACTTGTGCTTGGAGGCAGAGGAGGTGAGCGAGATCCTAAATGAATACTCTCCGTCAGTATTCACCCAGGAGAAGGATATGGAGGTTAGTGAGATTGATGTTGAGCATGCTAATATGCTAGGACATTTTGAGATCAAGAATGAAGTGGTGATGGGTCTCCTGAAGAGCAGTAAGGTGGATAAGTCCCCAAGGGCCGATTGTATCTACACCAGGTCAGTGGGGAGACACTCAAGGGAAGAGATTGCTGGGACCTTGACCAAGATCATTCTATGCTTGCTAGCCACTGAAGAGGTCGCGGAGGATTAGCAAGTAGTTAATGTTGTTTCTCTGTTCAAGAAGGGAAATAGGGATAATCCAGAGACTACAGACTGCTGTGTCTCACATCGGTGATTAGGAAGCTGTTGGAGAGGATTCTTAGGGATAGGATTTACATGCATTTAGAAATGCATAGCCTAATTAGGGACAGTCAGCATGGCTTTGCGCAGTGAAAGTCATGTCTTACTAACTTGATTGACTTTTGAGGTGGTGACAAAGGTGATCGATGAGGGTAGGGCAGTGGATGTTGTCTACATGGATTATTGTAAGGCTTTTGACACGGTCCCTCATGGTAGGTTCATTCAGAAGATTAAGATGCATGGGATCCATGGTGACTTGGCTGCTTCAATTCAGAATTGGCTGGCCCATAGAAGGCAGAGAGTAGTGGTGAAGGGTGGTATTTTTCGGGCTGGAGGTCCATGACTAGTGGTATTCTGCAGGGATCCTACTGGGACCTCTGCTGTTTGTGATATATAAATAGCTTGGATGAAAACATAGATGGATGGGTGAGTAAGTGTGCACATGACACAAAGCTCAGTGGAGTTGTGGATAGTATAGGAGGTTGTCAAAGATTACAGTGGGACATAGATGGGTGGAAAAATTGCAGGTGGAGTTTAATACAGGCAAGTGTGAGATACTGCACTTTGTGAGATCAAATTTAGAATCCCTACAGTCCAACAAGGCCACACCAACTATATGGAGAGCATCCCACCCAGACTCACACCCCTACTCTATATCCCTGTAACCCTGCATTTCCCATGGCTAACCTGCCTAACCTATATATTCCTAGACATTATGGGCAATTTAGCATGGCCAATCCACCTTACCTGCACATCTTTGGACTGTCGGAGGAAACTGAAGCACCGAGAGGAAACCGAAGCACCGAGAGGAAACCCACGCAAACTCCACATAGACAGTTGCCCAAGGCTGGAATCGAACCTGGGTCCCTGGCACTGTGAGGCAGCAGTGCTAACTACTCAGCCACCATGCAAGTAAACAGTTAGTGGCAGGACTCTGAACAGCATTGATGTACAGAGGGATCTTGGGGTTCAAGTCCATAGCTCCTTGAAAATGGCCACACAAGTAGATAGGGTGGTAAAAATGATGTATGGCATGTTTGCCTTTATAGGTCAGGGCATTGCGTACTTGTCACGTTGCAACTTTATAAAACTTTGTTTAGGCCATGCTTAGGGTACTGCATTAAATTCTGGTCGCCATATTAGAGGAAAGATGTAGAGGTGTACCAGGATGCAGCCTGATTAGAGGGTATGAGTTATAAGCAGAGGCAAGAAAAAGTAGGAGTGTTTTCTCTGAAGGGACAGAGGCTGAGGAGAGACTTGATAGAAGTCTATAAAATTAAGAGATGCATAGATAGGGTTGACTGTCAGAATCTTTTCCCCCCAGAGTTGAAATGTCTATGCCTAGGGGAATGCATTTAAGGTGAGAGAGGGAAAGTTCAAAGGAGATGTCTTTTACACAGAGATAGTAGGAACTGCAGATGCTGGAGAATCCGAGACAACAAGATGAAGGGCTGGATGAACACAGCAGGCCAAGCAGCATCATAGGAGCAGAGAGGCTGACGTTTCGGGCC